TTACACCGATGCAGACTGGGGGGGACTTATGGAGACAGGAGATCCACCTCTGGCTATTGTTCATTTGTGTGGGGAAACTTAATAACCTGGAAAAGTCAAAAGCAAAGAGTTGTATCCAAAAGCAGTGCTGAATCAGAATTGAGAGCATTAGCTCAAGGAATTACAGAAGAACTATGGATAAGAAGGGTCATGGAAGAAATACAAGTCAGAGTTGATCCACCAATGAAATTGTATTATGATAATAAGGCTGCTATAAGCATGGCATTGAATCCTGTACAGCATGAGAGATCTAAACATGTTGAAGTGGATAGACATTTTATCAGAGAGAAAGTAGAAGGAGGTATTGTATGTCTGACATACCTACCTACAAAGTTACAAGCTGCGGATGTACTAACCAAGGGACTATCCAAGCCTACATTTGAGAGTTGTATAAGCAAGTTGGACATGATTAGCATCTATGATCCAACTTGAGGGGGAGTGTGGGAATATTATATTATTATTGAGAATTATTAGCATTTATTAGGATCTCATTAATTAGGCTTTATTAGTATTTATTAGCTTTTATCTCTCTTGATGTATATATATAAGACCAATGTGTACATTAGAATAGTAATGAGACAAAACAATTTTTTCCTCTCTGAAAATTCCACAAACTTGGCGCTAAAATAGCTAGATATTTGATAAGATTGGAAGAATCACAGCCTACTTGATTGACAACAAACTCCATTACTGCAAAAATCTCATCCTTTGACAGGGCCATATAGAAGGAGTACCTTTTAAATGATAGCACTGTGCAATACAAAAACATAAGGATGGAAAAATATTTAGTTCATAAGACATATTATATCATTTTGTTGCTTCTATAACCTTAAAATACAGTTCCCAAGTCCAACAGAGAACAATCACTACCCATTAAAGGGAGCAAAATCATAGTTCTATGGCATCCCTAAAAGAATGCTGCTACTGCTGCCACTTAAAAAGCACCTTCCCTTATATAAACTAAGTGGAATAATATAAAACAATTTGGAAGTAGTCCCATCTTCAATTCTGAAATGGAAATCAATGTTTCCCTTATTTTGCACCCTTACTTAAAATGTTATGTATTGATATTTAATTTATACATCTTCAGTGCAAATTAGTGAAGGAGCTTCCATATCATTAACTCTTATAATATCCACTTTTTGAAAGAATGAAAGAAGAAGGAACTTTTTTATTAGGATGAGGTAGTACAAAGCCCAATGCAAGCTGACACTGTTCAATTGAACAGTAATTTAAGAGAGGAGCCGCTCATGAGCCTCTCTTTAGGCAGCTTACAATCATTGGGATTTATATGATATATAGATGCTTTCATGGCCGAGGTTATTCATCACAGCTGTCAACGGCGCGCCTCATTATTCTCCGTCAATATTTTTATTAATCACCAAAAAAACAATATTACACACATAAATCATCGGAAAAACAAAAGAACCGACACCTATTCATGCAACTTAGGAAGGTAAAGAAGCCAATAAAACCTACCAATACAACCTAAGAAAATAAAGAAAGCACCAGAACCTAACACCAATATATATATATATATATATATTGGTAATCTATATCAACACTTTTTTATATAAAACGTCAATGTCCCTACGTGTATATTATCAAAATCTCTTGTTGGCCAAAAAAAATTATCAAGATCCTTTTTAGGCCAGAGTTTATACTATCAAAATCAAAGCTAGAACGAATTACACCTTTTATAATACAAAAAAATATCAGATGCAGAATAAATATGTGTGTACGCTTAAGGATATTGTTATTACATGTTCTCTCCCTCCCTCCCCTCCTCTTTTTACTAGCCAGCTCCTCTCTTTCTATTACTATGTTCATGTATTGTTATTGGAGTCAAAATAGTAATAGTGACACGCATGGTGCTAAATATCTGTTAGTATTAAGAATGAGGAGCCGCAGTCCAAGAATAAGAAGAGGAGAGATATAGACAAGAATGACAAGATTACATCACTTCTTAATTTAAAACGTCAAGTCTCAAACTTATGTATCCTTATACTTTATAATCTATTACTTATTAAGCCCCAGTTTATTCGAGATGAGACTTTCTAAAACTTTTATAACCTAACATTTAGAAATGTAATGAAATCCATATAAGCACTTTGATATGGGAAACAAAAAAAGTTGATAGATAACAGCTAGGAATAAAGCAAGAGGTTAAGGGACATATCTTAAAAGCAAGAGCACTCAAAACAAAAGTCTTCGTTCGTTTGCCATGCGCTATAATCCTGTACCTAGGTATATTTTTGCCTCTGTTTTCTATTGCCAAAAACAGAGAATCTTTTGCCTCTAGTTTGTTTGGAAGTAGCATCTATTTGGTGCCACTGAGTTTAGTTAGAAGTATAGTTACTTTAATTCCTGATTTATCCATATTGCTATTGATCATATATTTATACTCCTACGCATCCATCAAAACGGCTGGGAGCGGTTTTTACATGATACTTCGAATGTTAATGTAGCCTGCCAAAGTACGAACTAACGTGAATATTAAGACATAACCTGATTCTTGATGAAGCGTGTTCTTCAACCTCGGAATCCTCGTTTCTTATAAAAAAGTGGATGAGTATGGAGAAGACAACGATCTTCTTGCATGTGAAGGATGAGGTCATTGTTTCCTTTCCTGACCATTATAATGGAAGAGAGAGGTAACGAGAAAGAGAGTACGTGTCCTAATAACATGCATTTTTATATTTTCATTAGTAATTTTCTAATTTAACGAGAATATAAGAGATATATGTGATTCCAATTTCAAAACAGTATTTTCCAGATAATAATGATAATATACGCCCTATCAGAATCTAGTTTGGTGTTGAGTACTCAAGCAGATAAAGACTCCACAATGCCTAATCGTCTGTAAATTAACACGGAAGCTTGAGGGCTTTCCCATGCTCACATAGTGCTTGAGATCTGTGATCCTTCTTTGACCTGCGTCTGTGATCTTCAATTGTGGGTTTTAAGTAATTGAGAGAGAGAGAAAGTAAGGAGACATGGCGATAGATCTAAGTCCTCAATTGGCGAAGCAAGTGCATCGAGGCAATGGAGGGTCGTATTATTCGTGGTCTCCTTCTGAGCTCCCGATGTTAAGCCATGGCAATATCGGTGCCGCCAAGCTCAATCTCGATAAGTACGGCTTCGCACTTCCCAGCTTCTCCGACTCTCCCAAGGTTGCATATGTTCTTCAAGGTATCTATTCGATCGTCTTTGATTGCATTCATGTCTTCTGTAATTTTTACCATAAAAAAGCGTCTTTTTCATTAGCGTGGTCACGCATGACTTTATTATTATTCAGATCTGTTTTTATCATATTGAATTGTTGCCATATGATATGGGTCATGTTTTTCTTCATAATCTTTGATTCTCGGAAATTTTAAGTTGAACTGCATCCTGCTCTGGGATTAATTAACTCGATTACTGTACTATCATCTCTTATTAATTACTATTTGCTGTCCTCATCCTACAATATTTAGGAAAGGCGGATAACAGCTGGTAAAATTTAAAATCGGTTCTTGATTACTATGGAAGATATATTCAAAATTATTTAAAATAAGAGACGTAAAAATGTAAATAATAATAAATAACACGTCCTGATACTTTTATGGGCAATCCTGTAATTATCTAAAATAATCCATGTTTATATTTCCAATTCTTGGCTTGGGAGTTATAGTCAGCTTAAAATTGTTCAATACAACATTCAATTTCCCCTTTCAAATTGAAGTTGTATATTTCTTAACTGTGAGATGGCCTCTCTGGAATCGGGGTTGCTGGAGTCGTGCTCCCTGAATCAGAAGAGAAGGTTCTTGCAATTAAAAAAGGCGACGCCATGGCACTCCCTTTCGGTGCTGTGACATGGTGGTTCAATAAAGACGACACCGAATTGGTTGTTCTTTTCCTAGGCGATACTTCCAAAGCTCACAAGGCTGGTGAATTTACCAACTTCTTTCTCACGGGTTCTGATGGAATCTTCACTGGTTTTTCCACTTGAGTTTGTGGGCAAAGCTTGGGACTTGGACGAAAACGACGTCAAGTCCATTGTTGGGAACCAATCAAGTCAAGGCATTGCGAAGCTTGAAGGGAACATTAAGCTTCCCGAGCCAAAGCAGGATCATCTTACTGGTATGGCACTTAACTGTCTGGAGGCTCCATTGGACGTTGACATTAAAGGGGGTGGGAGAGTTGTGGTTTTGAACACTAAGAATCTTCCATCGGTTGGTTAGGTTGGACTTGGAGCAGATCTTGTCAGGTTAGATGGAAGTGCCATGTGCTCTCCTGGATTTTCTTAGTGACTCTGCCTTGCAGCTTACTTATATTGTCAGAGGAAGGGGTCGGGTTCAGGTTGTTGGTCCCAACGGCAAGAGAGTGCTGGAGACAATCATAGAAGAAGGTTATTTGTTCATTGTACCCAGGTTCTATATGGCCTCAAAGATAGCTGATCCTGATGGAATGGAGTGGTTCTCTATCATCACCATCCCAAAGTAAGCCTCTCACTATTTACCTCAATTGCTGAATGATCATACCTTTTATGCAATTTATGACCATGTCTATAGTTCTGATCATTTCTCATTGTTGGACAGTCCTATTTTCACCCATTTGGCTGGAAGTTCTTCGGTGTGGAAGGCGCTGTCTCCTACGGTTTTGGAAGCTGCTTTGAATGTGGATTCAGGACTTGAACAGCTCTTCCGTTCAAAGAGGACTAATGATGCCATTTTCTTCCCTCCCACAGTAGATAAATGATATCCTCTTTAAGACAAAATAAGCCTTAGCATTACTATTTATAAAGAGCTTTCAATTTTCTCTTTGATAGTGCCATCTACACTTTGAACGAGACTTGAAGTTTTTGAGTTGAGTATGGAGGTGTTTGAACTACATTTAATTTGATGCTTTTAGTGAAGTTAGAACTGCTTTAAATATATTCTTTGGCCTAGATATATTTCTTGCTCTTTATCAGGCACAGCTTAAATGGAAGTAAATCACTTGATGTTACATTAGGAAGAGAATCCACTCCACACTTCATAGCATTTATCTCCAGGGAGATGAAACCATCCGAGGACGAAGAGCCTATTAAGTATTAATGTTCCAAATGCTCGATCACAGAACATGCAATACAAACCCAGAATATAAAAAAATTGTTGACGGCTAATCTGCATCCATCTCTTCAAGAGCTGCCTTGGCTGCTGCCTTCGCTTGTTCCAAAAGTTCATCCGGCACCTGCACATCGATATGATGAAATTAATCCTGGGAATGTTACACTAATAAGCTTCCAACATTGGCTAATAATTATCATTCCATGCCAAAAATCGGAGCCTCTACACCTGAGTGCATGTTTCACTAATATCTCAATCCAGGAGGGTAAAGAAAATGTAACAGCTATGTTACTTAACAATCAACTCCTTCAGTAAGTCGTAAAAAAAATGAACCGATGTTGCTCCTATTATGTTTCATCTGTTGCATGTTCACACACACACGCCCCTTGTATAAAAGCCAGGTATTACCTTCACATGTTGGCGGTTTGATTCATCACACACCCAGCTCATTTCAAGTTCAAAGTCTTTATCCTTGGCCTCATCATGAACTCCGTAAATACTGCTTGCCACAAAAAACAAACAATTTTGTTGTAATTAACAATTTTAGTAGTACATAGGATAAATTAAATTTCCCCCCTTCCCCTGTCAAGCACAAAAGATCCCGCTCCAGGACCACAATCCTCTTGCATTCCAGAAACTATAAAAGTTAATGTAACCCCAGCAGTGGAATAGTGGTCAATGATAATTATCACTTTTCTTTTCATGAATGAAAATTTTAATCTGATTGCTTCACGTTGGAACAGCCTCAATATGTATGAAAAACCTAAGCCTTCATACTGCTTATGTTTAGTTCCATAAATTTACCATATGCTATAAAAATCTCAATCAAAATCTATTGCCGTTCAACATATTAAATTTGCTACATGCATCCCATGATGTTCTTTGATTAGCCAGGAGCCTTATCTTTCCCTTGCTGCTCAATTTTTCTAACATTTTAAATCTGTAACTGTGATTGTGATATCTCACACACCAATCCAGACTTAAAACGTAAATTAAAAAAAATAAATAGTAGTCTCCTATCCAAAATATGTCCAAATAAATTGCTATATAAACGTTACAGCAATAATCGAGCTACTTACATCTTGGCTACCTCAATAACTCCCTGGCGGCAACTCATGTCAGAAAGCTTCAACTTCTCAATCTCTCTGCCAAAAGAATTAAGCAGAACAATTTAAAACCATCTCACTAAAACTGTCATCCCAATATTACAATAGCAACAAGAGCAATTAAAGAACAAAAAATTACAGGAAGTACTACAGTTTTATCTTCAAGACTTCCAACAAACAGATTTGTGCATAAATGTAAAGGTTATGCTAATAAACAGAGATATGGTTTGTAACAAGAAACTTGAGCTTTCCCTGACATAGGAGACAAAATTCTAAAAAGAAAAGCAATATTCAATTTTATCATAATTGATAAATTAATAAATAAACAATTCTTACATCCTAATGGCCCAATAAAGAGAAAAAGGGATATGATGTTGACCACTGCCAAGGTCTTCCCAACACACAATTGGAACATTTTATTTCATCATTGTTGACAGCAAAATCTTTTGGCCCTCCCCACCATGTTCCTAAAGATTAAGGCAACTAAAGCACAAGGTTTAAAATGCCACAGATTGCAGAACCTCACTATTTTATAGACTAACCAAAATCTTTCACGATCCAACTTTGCAGATTAAGCTTTTTAGTAAAAGCAAAGCAGCCTCAACATAGTAGAGTCTCTAGGACCTCATAGGCAAGTGTTCAATTGCCTCCCATTTCTTAATTGAAAGTTAAATTTCATCACAGTTTTGTGAACCAATGTGTACTCCATACTTCAAGCCCATAAGGCTTTTAGTTTTATGTAAGGGAGCATGATAGAGGGCAGTAAAAACCATTCATCGGGCAACCACTTATTAGTTTAAGCTTTCTAGTTGAAGAGATTTTTGATAGACTCCATAACTGACGATACTAATCCAGTCATATTTCCAATCCAAGTCCATTTCTCTCTTGCTACTTTTTGCCAGGTTACATCCAATGAGTACAATTGTGTGCTCTTATTTGGATTGACTCGATGGCTACAGGATTTGAGAAAATAAATTCTAAATAATAGTATAGGTTGGCTTCTTTAGTTAATTCCCTTCACACGATTAGAGTAAAATCAAACTACACAAACAAGAGGAAAGTTGTCCTCACACGTTATTAGCTGGTCTCATGATTCTCACAACTTCACAAGAACAATTCCCACTGCACTAAAGAAATGACGTCTATTGCAATCTTCTCAAGGTTCAGCAACTTTTCAAAATTTTAAACCCCAAGATTTGATGCTTAATCACCTCAAAGTTATTATTAATTTTGGCACAGCATCACATTAATGATTACTACAAAAAAAGATTATAAAACTGATCTCACTTACGTTTTAGCAGCCTGCCTGCCCTTCCCAATTGCTGCACCAAAATACCTCTAAACAAATGCCAAAACAAATCAGTACAAAAATACAAATGAAACTAAACAAAATAACTTGAACAATCTGCTAACAAAGCCATGGCATAGCCATAACAAATATAGACTCACATAGGAAACACCGGATGGTTCAACCATGTACAATTGTGGTCCATCTCTGTCATAACCTCCTAGTATGACACCACATCCAAAAGGTCTGCAAAAGCATTGTAGTTCTTTCAATACAGTGAACCATAAGGAAATACAATTTGAAGATTAATTACATTCAATCAGATATCATTTAACCTGAGCCACCAATATAGTGTACAAAGGTGCACATAGCTAGCCACCCGATCAGCAAGTTCCTTGACAGGAATTTGTTCACCATAAACACTGAAAAGAGAAATGAATGAAACATGTCTTCTTTTCATAAATTGAACCAAAATATTTAATAATACCTCAAAATCTCGAGATACAATGTCATTATAGTTTTCATTTACTAGTTAATCAGAATAAGGCACAACATAAATCATGACCTTAGGTTAATTGATAAAGAAATGAGTTTATTATAATGAACCATGGCCTCATTCTTGAAACATGACTGCTTACCATTAAAAAGAGAATAATATTTGTTAGGTTACAGCTTATTACAGTCAACTACTAAGCAAATGTTTGTTGCAATCAAAATGTTGCACAGTTACTTCTATTTTTATCAACAGCAATGCAATTGCGCCTTCCTCTATAGAGAAGGAAGTCTAAGCATATAAAATCGCAAGCATTAAAGTATATATGCCATAACTAGCAGAGAAGGTTACCAAGACATCCATACACTGAACAATTCAATATGCCCTATCATTAAAACCGTAACTTCAACTTGAAGTGTCATAATAGAGTATACTCAACAAATTCACAGATGAAAAATCAATGGCCGTGTTTAAATGCAGACAGCAATATCCACAAATCTGTCAATTCATAGGTTCATTGGCTTCATGATAAAATATGTAGCCCATCCTAAAAAATCTTTTGCTGGTTATTGGTAGGTAAGCAACAGTGCTGAAAATTGCACCTAGTACTCAAAATGAGAACATAAGATGAAGCTGAATAATACCATACAGTGATTCAATCAGTCCATATATCTATCATGTCAATGGCTTATCAACAGAAAATAGAGAAAGTGTTAAATCGGTCAAAATGCATAAAAAATGCAAAATTATGGAAATCAAGGGACAATCTTCAAATGTTGCAAGGAGCACAATATAAAACCTTTCATAATTAGTAGCTTCTGACTTAGCCCTGGCAACAATTTGCCTCCCATCAGCTGCTAATCCTGCCACCGCCTGAAATTGGAAGAATATTATGAATATATTCACAGATATTCAAATATAGGGATAATCAAAAATTTTATATGAGAAAGAAAATTTACTCAACAATAGACATTTCCTGAGCAATTATGCAGGGCACCAAAGCAACAAGAGAGTGATAAATGGCATTGTAGTCCAAAAATTCTTAAATAAAATCCCAATGCTATATCCTAGTTATAATGATATAAAAGTTCAGTTACATTGGTGCATTGCACCAGATGAAAACAAGAATTTATCCACCATTGCTTTTCTTCTTTTATGATTTGCGCTTACTTCCAAAGAACAGAAATTAAAGACATCACAACCCAAAATCACAGTTTTAGTAATAACAGTCAAATATAGTTTGAGGATAGGAATATAAAATTCAGTGCTATGAACCGAAAGACCAACTTGATATGAAACAATAATTCGCATCAATACTAAAAGAACTCCAGTTAAGTAGTTTTAACCTTTAACCTTTATTCTTAAAAAGTATGAGCATATGCGCATACTTGGATCCCACCCTCTCCAAGCAGTGCAGCTTTAAGTCTCACATCAAAGAATTTTGCTTTGGTGCGGAAGAGGGTGGGTATAAGTAGACATTCAAGCTGTTTGGATACCACTCGCTCAGGTGCTTTTAGTTCGTTCCAACAAAAATCCAGTTCTAGTAAATGCTACTCATCTAACATAACTTCCATTTTCTTCGATCTCCATAACTCACTCAACTATCACCGCTTCTTTCAACAATCTCTAGTATTATACATGCTCAATCAGCCAATCAGTGAATAAATCTAGGATTCTACCAATTTCCACACCGCTTAACAAGTTAGTGAGGTCGTCCCTAAACAAGAAGGCATATCATAGAGGTCTCTTTCAAGTATTCATTCTATGGTTATCACACCATGAAAAAGATTAACAAGGAAGAAATAACAAGATGTGCAAAAACAGAACAGTCAGAACTAAAAGTAAATAACATGGTACCATGCCCGAGTGGCGATGAACAGAGTGTATTCTTCGATTGGAACCCGCCAGCATCATCTTGGACGGAATAAGTTTCTCGACCCCCTAAAATTAGGTTAATGTTGAGAAAAGAATAGCACATAGATGCTGAAAACATGGGATGAACGCATTTACAAAATATCTACCATCACAATTCCGTCCTTGCATTTGATACCAATCACAGTTCTGCAACAAAAGTTTTGACAGTAAGATCCCAGTATCTACAATCCGACTAACGGCAAGCCAGGAAAAAAAATCATATTTACTTCTGATATGTCTAGCAACAAACATAAAAAGGAAAATCAAGCAGCAGAAGAAGAGAAGGAAGAGGAAGCGGCAGCAAGGTACCCGCTGTTGTCGACAGCTTTGGCTGCATACTCGATCTGGAAAACTCGGCCATCGGGCGAGAAAGTCGTGACTGAGAGATCATAACCTGTTCCGATGCTACTCATGCTTCCTAACGATCAATTGGCGGTACCAAATCTTGGCCGTGATCGAATGTCACTCTTGACTTCCCCCTGGAGCCCTACTAGAGCATGGAAATAACAAATAAGAAAGGTTTTGCCTTTCGCTTCAAGAAAATGGCAAAAGTTTTTTTTTTTTTTTTGGCACGACACATTGTGAGATTAAAATTTTTGAATATTTTATTACGTTTCAAAATCTTTTTCTTTCCGACTAAGCAGATTATACTGGTCTTTTACACTAAACAAGGGCGTCCAAAAGCTCTTTGGTTTGATTCGGCCTCATCCAATCCAACTCAAGACAATTTAGTTTAATTTGATTAGGATAAATTTGTAAGATAAAAAAGACTTAATTTTTTTTTAAATTAAATTGGACAAGAGATCAAACTAAGTCCAATCCAGCTTTATAAATTTAGTTAATATAATTATAATTAATTAATTAATATTATTATTATAACAAATTAATTTATAATAATTAATAATTTTTTGTGTTTTATACTTGTTAAGGACATGAATATTGAACAAAATTTTTGCATTAATTAACTTCAATTTTCTCCTTTTATTAATAAAATTTGTTGTTAACTTAGTTTAATTAATTTCAAACATGTTGAATGTTGTTTAATTTTAAAAATTATTTCATTTGTTGAATCTTTTGTTTTGTAATTAAAATATCTTTATTATTGTTAGAAATTATTATGAATTTGTAATTATTGTTATTATGATAAATTTTATATTAACTATAAATAATTTTATTATGTTAATTGAGCTTATTAAGTTAAAATAAATTGTTATCTTTCATAAATAAAAAAAAAGAGTGAAATATTAAAAAAGATCGAGACCATTTTTTTGCTCCTACTAGAATAGTCATATCCCGTTCAGTTTTAGATGATATCAGAATCCAATTAAATTATAGGTTACTTAATTTAATCTCTTTTCATAAAAAAGGCCAAATTTTAAATTAGATTGAAGTCCTGTCCAGTATATGCACTAGTAAACATGAGACGATCATGATAAAAAAGTAGTTGTGCCTCTGTTATTTTTGCATTATATATAGAGATATAAATTATATTAAATTGAAATTATAATTATATATAAAGTTTTTTGCCAACAAATTATATGTAACTATAAATATATTTAATTCTTGATGGAAAAATACATTTTCTTTCATTAGCCCAAAAAAACCTTCTGCTTCTCCGGTTTTTCCGAGTAAAGATAAATCACTAAATTGCCATTTTTTTAAGGGATCCATCAAGCCTGTGAAAATATGTTTACGATTACTATCTCACCTGAAAATTCGAACTCATACGATTGTCCGTTGACCGGTTTCGGGGGCCTCCACGCCTCCATGCCCACGGCAATACCCACAAACGGCGGATAGAAATGGCCATTTAGAGTCTGGGTTCTGTCGGAGGAAAAGAAAGAACAATACACAACACAATTCATAGTTCCAAGTAGCAGAAAAGGATGGGAAGGGTTCGGCTGCTTGTTTCAGATTTCCTCATGTCCTTCATGTGGGTGTGGTCTGGGGTTCTAATTAAGGTATCTGTCTCCAGATATTTGGGGTTGAGTCACCAGCCAGTTCTTGAGGCCGTGAAAATGACGCTTTCCATCATAAATATGTTCTTTTTTGCATTGTTGGGAATATGGACCCATGGCGGTGCCTATAATCCTCTCACAGTTTTAGCCGGTGCCATTTCTGGAGATTTCAGCAATTTCCTTTTCTGCGTTGGCGCTAGAATTCCCACTCAGGTTTGGTAACATTATTTTCGGACAGGGTTTAGTTATTCTCGTTTATCTAGCTTAGGGTGTGAAGATGATAATAATATAAGGGAAGGACTTGTGTGGTGTGGATTTTCTGAAATTAGTTAAGGCTCTGTATCTGCAAGTTAAAAATGGTATCCTGAGTCATTGCTGATCGCATGCTCGTCATTGTAATTGCATCATCTTTGAGTGAAGCATTTTAGAGCTGATTAGAATATACTTAATCAAACCTTGTTAGTTGCAGTGAGTTTTTGATGAATTGATAACTTCACTCTTTTTAATTGGCATCTTTGATATATCGATAATCGTGTTTGCTTTTGGCAAAGTCCCTTCTTTGTTGGTGTTTGATGTGTGCTCTCAGGTTTCGAAATTTCCTATCTGATTGTATGCTATTACACAGCTGTGGCGGGCTAAAAGTAGAACACTATAGAAAAATATTTTCCCAGTCTAGTCTTCACATCCTTATGATTTATATTTATTTATGAATTTTTGTTTGATGCAGCTGATTATGAAATTTACATCTAGGAATTAGTGTTTTCAATTGGGAAACAATCCAGAATAGGTTAACCTTTGCTTTGTCCAGAGAGTTCTATACCTTTTGGGAGATCTTAGCAAATGCTCTAGCGCAGCATTGCGCCTTAAAATTTGATGGTGCCAAAACAAGGTCAATGTTTTATTAATCTGATACTTCTGTTTCCTTCTTTATGTTCGCATTCAATATATGCCTTCAGCACAGATCCTGGATTGAAAGTTATTATGCTCAATTTCTGATATTTTCTTGGGTTTATCATTTTCAGGTGTTGGGATCTATTACTGGGGTTAGGTTCATAATTGATACAATTCCTGAAGTAGGGCGGGGACCACGTTTGAGCATTGACATCCATCGAGGTGCTCTGACAGAAGGATTCCTAACATTTGCAATTGTCATCATATCACTAGGGCTTGCTTCAAAACTTCCAGGAAGTTTCTATAGGAAGACTTGGATTTCCAGTATTTCCAAGCTAACACTTAATATACTTGGCTCTGATCTGACTGGTGGTATTATGAACCCAGCCTCTGTAAGTATTAATTCTATCTGTTTCATCTGTCAACTGTGAAATCATTGAAAGAAAGACAAGACTCAAATTAGGAATATGTTAATGTATCTGTTATCAAATTTTTCTTAACAAGGAAATTATTTTTTTCTGTAGTTTGATATTTTGTGATTGAGTTTTCTAAAAATTTTCCTCCACAAGCCATATTTTTATCGGGAACCCTGATAGTAAATTCCCAAGGAAGTTTCTCAGAATATAATCCTGGAAAAAAAACATTTGTCTGCTTTCTTTTTTTCCCATTTCATTGTCATCTGCTAAAAAAAACTTTGTTTGATCTTACAGGTGATGGGATGGGCTTACAATCGAGGGGACCACATTACGAAAGAGCACATCCTTGTATACTGGCTTGCCCCCGTAAAGGCAACTCTACTAGCAGTGTGGATATTCAAATTGCTAGTTAGGCCTGCAACACGAGAAAACCAGCACAAAAACTAAATCAGATTGATGAAACCTTATCCAGTGCTAATTCGCTGATTGCTTCTGGCTTCAATTAACATACTTGGAAGTTGTGGGAGTCCGGTATTCATATTTATTTCATCAGGTGGCTAACGTGTGATCATCATGCCCTATGCTATATACTATAAATGATGTGTGTTCATTTGTAATTGTAAGTATCATTATGAATATGGCCCGGCAGCCCTGCCATTTCTCTGATTGTATCAACTTGAGCTCCTGTATATTATAGTGCTTGCATGATGCACGTGCGTTAGGGTTTATGTGTTAACTTGTTAAGGATGTGTTTTTGGATGTTTACATCACTAACAAAGAAGCAGAGAATTATGTTTCACTGAGGAGTTGTGTCTCTTGTGCTTGATTTGGCTTTGACGATGAAAAATACACAAGTAAACGTTTTATGGGGAAGGAAAAAAGAAAGAAAATGATTAAGTTAATGAAAAATACTTGAATAAACTCTACACGGAAAAAGGTTCAAATGGAAAAGAAGAAGAAAATACTCTAGAAACGATATCCTCCACATTTTAGTCCTCTTTACCCTCTTCAGCGAGAGAGTAAGCTGGCCGCGTTGGTACAGGCACTTCTTACAGTTAACAGAGGACATTCGTTCTAAATATTGGTAAAGGGTTTGGTTGGAAGAAGTGGACTATCTATAACAGTATCTATCGCAAACTTATCCGAACAATCTGTATGCATTATCTTGAACACAAGGTGGAGGTTTACAGCTTACAACTAACACTCGTCTGACCTTTATAGTAACTTTGTGCAAGTTCAGTCTCCGCAGTCCAGTATTGATGGCGCCAATGAATTCGTGTACGGCCCATCTGGATACAATTATAAAGCAATTATAAAGAAATGATTGCTCCAAAAAACTGAAATTGTAGCTTAACTTGGGTTGTTCCTGTGATCAGCTTCCTTAACTGTGTTTGTTTCGTCCACCTTGGACTCAGTGGACCTTTGACCAGATTCTCTGCCTTCATCTTCAGCATGGGAGGGTTGCACAGATTCTGCCACTCCATGTTCATTTGTAATGCTTTCCAAATTTATCAACGAGGTATCGAAGCTTTGTGCGGAGTCTTTCATATCTTCTTCAACACTGTAGAACGGATCAAAAGAAGATCGTCCTTCTAGATCTGCAAATTTCATATCATCCTCCAATGTATCAAAATCAAAATTCTGTAAAATTTCAGGGATTGGAATAGCAAGGTCCTCAGCACGCATGGATCCTCCTAATTCAATGTCAATCTTCTCCTTTTGGTTCATACTTCTTTCCTCAATATTTGGAGTCACAGAACCAACCATCACAGGTTCATCCACCAGCACTAATGATCGGAAGTCATTCTCTGAAAGGGGTATTTTGGAGCAAAGTGTTTCCTTAAAGTTTCGCAGAATTCCATTATTGTAAGGATTTGCCTTCTTATCATATTGATAACGGAAGTTCTCATAAGTTGTCTGTATGAAATCAAAAGTTAAATGCATAACTAGGATTGACAGCAGCACCTATCTAGAGAAAAAAACATATACAGAAGACTCACAATAAGCTAATAATTATAATTTTACAATCAACACGAAAAAGTAGATCCTCTTTCTAATGTAAATAAATAAAAGATGACTTAAGATAAGCACACAAAAAGAATTTTTCTAAAAAAGATAGTTGAAGTTTCGGAAGCCACAAAGAAACCTCGCTACTTCAGAAAGGAGAAGATGATAGACAAGAAAAAAAACAGGTATCGTTCAAGTTGCTAGGACATCTTAATTTAATATGCTTGTAACTGTTACTCCATATTTGGTCCCAAAAAAAAAAAAAAAAAGTCACTTCATATGATGCGTAAAATGGTTGTAGCTATAGCAGTATGGCTTTTGTGCTTCCAACTGAATGAATTAGCCAAACAATCAAGCCCTAACATTAACATTAATTGTTCCCTAGCACAATAAATAGAGGTGAATCAAGCATCTTAAGTAATTGGACCTTTTTTATATTTTGAGTAAGATAGTCACCTGATTTGTGCAAATGAGATACAAATGGAAAGCTGTGAGGCCCCCAACAAACCAGACAGCTATGAAACAGTATATTATGAGAAAATCTGATACATAGTCTTGTGTTATTGCCTTCCCAAGGGTAACAGCTCTCAGGGCAAGATTGATCCAAGAAAACACAAAGACGTATATGCACAAAATGGTTGATGTTGAAATAAACATGAAGAAGAACCGATAGTTTCTCTGCAATTATATCAACATATAAGTCACCCCTTAATCTAGTAATGATAAGCAGTCAAATAAATTCAGAAAATAAAAAGTGTCTACTTTTTACTATATATACTTGTTTATAAATGGCATAAAAATGCAACAGTATACTTGAATGTTTTTAATGTAGGTCCTCCGCATTTCTTGCTTATCTGTACAGTGTAAATTTGGAGAGAAAGAGTAAGGGGGACAGCCACTTCTGTCTTCCCCTCTCAGTCTCCTTTACTGCATCTTTTTGCAGTACTGTGGGGGCCCAGTTCAAAACGTTCTTAAGCTTCATTTTTTGAAACATAGTGAACTTACTATTCCAATGCACTGGCCAACCCAGGGACAGTGATGATCAAATCTCTGGACACAATTGTTACAGATGGAGCAATGAGAACAGCGAGGTGGGCGATAAAGCAAACACGTATCACAGAACTTCACTTTAACTGTGTGACCATTGACTGTTACATCTCTAGTACGAGGCAGTTTCAATTGAGGGGTTGTACCATTAATCCATTCCATGGAAGGGGTAGGTAAATCAAATGCTTCGTCTGACTCAGGAGGCCTTGCATTCCTAGGGACAATGCCCGGATCTCTCCCAGAGGTCAGGAAGAGGAATGCTAAGTCCTGCATGCGAATTTTGCATAGCATCAGCTTTTACTTTCAAAGTAAGAAAGGAGGCCTCATCATCAGATATGAGGAAATGGTAAAATGATAAGGATCAAGGATAACTCAATAATGAACATGATATATATATATATAGAGAGAGAGAGAGAGAGAGCGATATGCAAATTAAGTAGGCAAAAAGAAAAACAGAATAATTCCAAAAGCTCCTATTCTGGAGGTGGATGTAACTAGAACTTACCAAAGCAGTGAGAATTACGCAAGTAGACAATACAGGATACCAATATGCATCACCAGGGCTCTTAGCATCTTCAATATTAATATACGTCTTTACACAAAATGCAACTGCAGGTCCAGCAATTAGTAGCGTGGTGAGAAACAACGAAGCCACATCAGGACCGAAGACCAGTCTGCCACCACAAAAAAATCTCTGGAAGAAATGTAAGCGAAAAGCTAAATCAGTACTTGATATTTCTTCTAGATGCCCATACTTCAATAATATACATTGGTTGTTTTCAATTTACCACAACTACATCAATATTTTCAGATGGAAGACGTTTGCTACAAGCTCAAAATATCCATAGTCATGCCAAGAACTGAGAAAATAAGTTGTGATAAGACGAAATACTAAATAAGACTTCAAATTTAACAGGTATCCAAACTACTTTTTTTTTTTTGTAAAAATATGGATTCACAATTCACCCATGTGAAATTAATTAATAAAGCAAGAAGTAATATTAGAGTGATGAAGGAGAGAAACACAATTTGGGAGAGAATAAGATATCCTCCGCAGCAAACTAGTGGAAAGAAGAGAAAAGGTAGTCAAAAAAAATACACGAATCTTTGAGTGCAGCTTTAGGAGTGCAGGCATAAGGGAGTAACAACAATTATGCAAAATTAACCAGCTCTTAAATCAGGACTTATTAAAGTTACAGTTTCTGTTAGCCGAAAAGAAAAAATAAAAACAATACAAGCAATTGGGACATGGTCTGATATATGAATGCTACTAGCAAAACTATTGCATTTTCTTGTGGCTAATCTTTAACTAAACACAGAGAGAGAGAGAGAGAGAGAGAGAGAGAAGCAACAATTCAAATTTCCATGATCAAGGGACATCATCCATGTACACTGAGGAATCACATAAGAAATTGAAGAAAAGCTCTTCAAGTGATCAAATACAGCAATCTTAAACATCAAACTCAAAGACTAGCAGAATAAATATAAACAAACGGAAAAGTACTCAATCAGTCCACAGTGAGCCTAATTGTTTTACTTTTCCATGAAATAAACCGTAATTACAGTCATGTTTCTTGAAAACAGCTCCTAGAATCAAAATTAAAATAAACAAAAAAAGCTATATCTGTTTTTCTGGCCATAAAAAAGTGATATTTGTTAGTCCTGAATCATTGTTACATAATCAGTCAACTATCTTAGTTTTACTTTCCCATTAGATGGAACTTATATCAATACTCCACTGACATCCAATTGTATTCGTAATCCGTTACTTTACAGAGAGAAAAGAAAGTTGACGAGGGGAGACCCAAAATTCATTATTCTCAATATAATGGAATTAAAAGAGAAAGAGACAAGAAGCAACAAATCAACGTAAAAAGCAAAAGTTCAAGAATAAGAACCAAACCAAAGGCATAGAAAAATAAAAACTCACGTTACTGCCCCTCCACACTTGGTAAAGCCTCCTTTGTTTCACGTTCTGGGCCTTGCTGCCAGAAGGAGAGGAAGGCCCCATGTCCTGATTCTTCTTTCCGACCTAAACTAGCTTTTATCCACCGGAAAACACATAACCAATCATCCAGCTTTGAAACCAGAAGTCGTCAGAGACATTCAAATTCCTTTCGCAGTCGTCGAATCAGTGTGCTTGAGAGTCGACAGTCAAAGTGACAATGAAGAAAGGGATGGTGTGGGATCGAAATTGAGAAGCCGCTGGGGAAATAATCTTGGAGAGTGATGATACACGCTCACGAAACGAAGTTTGGGAGTCCCTTCCTGTCAATGGAAAGTGGCGGCAGCTTGGAGGAGGTAATTGGGCGGGCAGGCGGACGTTCCAATTCTCGTGGCATTCACGCGCTTCGTGATTCCCTCATTCTCGGTGGTCCTGATTGATTCTGTTTACAAAAACGATACACATTTTTAAATTTTTTTCCTCTTGGTGATGATGTACGTACATATCAAATATTCAAATCATATCCACACCAAATCACATTATCATAGTGAGGTGGGTGGCACAACTTCGCTCCTGTTATCGTCCTTAACACTTCGTGCTCACATAAACTCAATTCATAGTCTGACGCGTTTTTATTTTATTTTTTATTTTACCTCTATCGCGCTCCAGTTTGCGTAATAGTAGAAATAGAAACTTGTTGGCAAAAAAATAGTAGAAATAGAAACTCTATCTGGGTACAATGTATTTGGTTCAACGCACTTATCTACTTTTTTCTTAATGTAATAAAGAAATAATTAAATAAATTATGTTTTATTGCTAAGAGTCAATGGCAAAGGCAAGACCCGAACTCAATGGTGCATGATAATTTAATTTAAAAAATTATAATTTTTTTAAAAATAATATAATTACACTAGAAATAAAATTATATTAACATAAATAAATTAATTTTCATTTTTTTAAAAAAAATATATTGAACATGTTAATATAGTCTTCTATATAAAATATATTCTTCATATCTTATATCTATCTTAAAATACTACGTATCTAGTAAGCTATTTAGATTAAATGTTTTTTATTTAGTTTAAAAAATGTAAAATCTCAAGAATAGGAATGTAAAGTTATAAAATTTATATATATAACTTATAATTTTTTCAAAAGTGAGGGGGTACATTTGCACACCCTCAACGATGAGTAAATCTTACTTAGAGTTACCCATTCTTTACACTTTGATTTGATACAATTTTTATAATTTGACTTAATTATAATTCAATCTCTTAATTTTAAATCAATGCAATTTAATTTCTATAATTTTAACTATTTAAAATTTTAGTCCATGTATTTTGGAAAATAAAATCATAATAACCAAAGTTATTTCGCAAAGCTTAAAAACTAATATTTTAAATAGTTAAAATTATAAACATTAAATTGTATTGAATCAAAGTTTAGTAACTGCTCTTAAATTACAATTAAATCAAATTATAAAAATTTAATTGTTTCAAATTAACGTTTAACAACCGAATTACAACAGGGTAGAAACTATAGGAAAGAAATGATTAATTTTTTTCAAAAAAAAATGTTCTACGCATTTTCGTTACAGGGATTAGTCCTTTTATTGATATATTTTTGCATCGAGTTTTGACCAAGATAGAAGATGATTTATTCAACTTGTATTTGAATATTATTAACTTTGAAGGTTATTTTTCCTATTGAATTTTTTATTTGAAAAGCATTTGAAAATTTTTACTCTAATTTTAAATGAAAAGTTTTAACGTTCAAATTATCTAAATTAAGCTTGAGCAGCTAAAAATCTCTTTTATTCTACTCGGAGGAATCCAAAATGATTTCTGTTGGCCACCTCACGGCAATTCTGCGATAATTGGAAGGGGGACGTACATATTATAATTATTAGTTACAAAAATTTTTTTGGCCAAGTTAGTTCATAAGTTTCATTATCCTGAGACAGCTTATATCCTGCTGTTTAATAATTCCTTGTGCGTGTGCGTGTGCGTGGGGGGGGGGGGGGGGGGGGGATTTAATAATCATAATTCGTCTACAGGAACATGACAGCTCTGCACTTTGGCAAGAACAAAAAAAAAAAAAGGACAGCTTTGCATAATTGTGACATGTCTTACCTCGTGCCCGGCAAATTTTTCTCGGTTAAGATAAACCACTCTTGTTTTATTTTCTTGGGTTAGTGTACATTTTCATCCTTAATTTTCTCCTTGAGATCTGGTGGTTATTTTAAAGTTAAATGTAGTTCAATATTGTTCTGAAGTTTTAGAAAGAGTGTAATGTCATCCTTTCATTAAATCTATGTTATTTTATCAGAGTCTCATATAGTGAAGGTTTGGGATCGTTTGAGTGTAAATGGTAATACTTGCAAATTTTTTAAGACATCAAGTGATAGAATAAAAAACATTAAATCTCAATTATTTTAATTATTAGTTGACAAGGAAAAAAATTAAAAAAATTACAAATAAATTATCTATATAAAAATTAATATCAATTAAATCTTTTAATATAATAAATAAATGTCCAATGATTAATATAAGGATTTCATCCTTCAAGTTTAATTTTTATTAATTTAATCATTTAAGCTTGTCTCAATTATTAATTTAATCATTTAAGCTTGTCCAATGATATGGTTAAAATTGATTGACATGAATAAAGAATACTGATAATAGTCATGTATATTAATAAAAAAATGTAATTATTTAGGTAAAAAAATATTCAAAAAATTTTAAAAAGTAAAAGAGCAAAATATAATATAAGAGATTCAATTGATAAAAAGTAAACTGATTTAAGAATTAATTTATTTTCATCTAACTATGTATGTATATCGTGAAGACATCAATGTACTTTATTTAGTAGATTAATTTGATAGTTGAATTGCATTTAAAACTTAAGAGACTAACAAAATAATTCAAAAAAAATACAAAAAATCATGTGGATCGAAGTTAAATTTAAGAGACTAAAAATTTTATTATTTCATAATATTATTTACTATTCATATACAGAATTACAGTACTATTTTGACCCATTATATTAACTAGCTATTAGTTAACCAATTAATTTGCTTTATGCAATGTCAATAGGCAATTAAAAATGCTATTTTTGTTTTAATAGTATCTTATTAAAATATTAAAAATTAAAATATTATAATTTTTTTAGTCAACTAATTTGAAATTAAGAGGGGTGTAATTGAGAAATAAAATTGGACCCTTTTTAATATCTAAAAAGTAATATTGCACTACTTTTAACTTCAAATTCATCAATACATTTTGTCGAAAATTTAAAAATAAAATACATCTTAATTTTATTTTTTTAACACTACTTTCAATCTAATTTATAAGTCAGAAAAACAGATAATTGCATATTTCATGCTTTAACAAAATTGGCCAAAATTGCTTTTTTTTTAATGTGTTCCGAATTGATTTTTTTTTTTTTTCAATCATCTGTCATTGACGACTAATAAATTAGCGAAAGCCGTGCTGCTTTTACTGTGCTGCTCTCTCTTTTTTGACCCGAACACTAGTACCACTATCAGTCATAAGTCTTTCTTGACAAAATTAAAATGAAAAAATTTTGTAGGAAACGAGCATTTAATGATATAAAAATTATTTATGTTTTTAACCATACAAATTTTAAAAAATAAATTTATACTTGAAACCGGAGATGGTATATCTTAAAATCTAAAAGGGTTATTGTCAATTATTTAGGGAACAAAATAACGTGAAATGAACAAAAAAAAAAAAGCACATGTCTGTCCATATTAAATACGATGATCACAAGGAGAGGAAGGGGAGTGCACGTAGAATATGCTTAGATTTAAATGTAAAATGACCACCTTCCTACAGAGAATGTCAACCAATCAATATTCAACTAACTTCGAATTAAAATATAAATAAAATCGATGCAAAGAGCAAGGATGCTGCTTAAATCGGGGCTGGCATTTGGCAGTACTAAACGTGTTGTAACGGCAGCCAACCATACTTAATTTTTTTATACTTCTTTCATCTCTAAATATAAAAAAAAATAATTTTGTATTCTTAAATATAAAAGTTTGTTAGTATTTTTTAATGAATAAATTATTATATTTTTATTAAATTAAAAAAAATACTCTCATTAATTTATTTTAAAAAAATTATTTTTTATTTATAATAATTGAGGGCAAATTGCTGTGCTTGTAATTAGATAATCAATTTTTATTAATTTACGTGATTTGATTAAATATATTTTATATATAAGGACATAGAGAGTAAGTTAAAAGGGCAAAAATATCTTCTTCTTTTTTTCAAAAACACTTGATATTTTTTTTTTCAAATAATGTCGTGCTGTAATTTTTAAAATGATATAATATTACCCAACCGTTAAACTCAAACATCATTTGATTGTCAAATTTGTGCTTTGACCAATAAACATACACATGTCACTTTCTAATTTACTCTTCTTCTACAATTAAATTTAAATGTGTTCTTTAACTTCCAACTTACTTCTTCACCTTCGATCTCCAAACTCCTAGCACACCAAATTCATAACATCTCCTCTCTCCTCAATTTTTAAGGCCACATCGAGAGCAAGAATGTCTGAGGGTAGTGGGACTTGAGTGATGTTGGAGTCAAAGAGAATGGTGCAGACGCTTCAATTCTTCCCCTGGACTCGCTAAGCAAATCGATGTGGGTTTCGGGCTTCGTACTTATACGAAGAGGATTATTGTGGGTTTTGGATGGAGATCACTTTCAAATTGTTGTGAGGTTTTGGGGCTGGCAAGATTCAGGATTAATGATGAGCTACTAGGTAAAAATGGTTTTTTGATGCTTCAAACATTAGTAGGTTATGAAAGGAGGATCTTGGATGTGTCGGTTCCCTAGCTAGGCACCTTGAAACCCAAATTCATTTTGCCTTATATTCAGGGACCTTTGTACATTTAGAGCAAGCTGTACTTAGAGCCTTATATTTAAAGCAAGCTGTATTTGGGGGTTGAGAAATCCAAAGAATTGTTACAAGGACCTTTGTACAAGCTCAGTGATAGTTGTTTGATTCTGCCTTATATTTAGGGAAAATTATTGCAAGAACGCACATAGTCAATACACCAAAATCAATAAAAAAAAATTAAGACATTTTAAAAGAAATTGACCAGAACATTATCAATAACCAAACAAAGGAACCTTAGCCTTTGTTTATATACTTAATTGAAAAGTCATAGTGAAACTGAACCCAAAAAAGGAGAGGTAGCAATGTGTTAGGTGCAAGCAATAACAATGAAGGAAACTTAATCAACAAATGTAGATGCAAACATAAAGGGCGAAGAGAATGAGGGTATAAACAGCAAAGAAGATGAGGTTTAAGTGAAAATGTAAAGAGGGCCGGAGAAAGATGAAGAGAAGGATGCAAATCAACACAAGATCCCAATTAGTCGCGTGGTTCGGCTCAACACAGCAAGATAAGCTCTAATGGAGAAGTGGCGATGATTTTTTTTTCAATAGAATAGAAGTG